TAACCCTTGTCGACCCACTGACCGAACATCCACGACCTTCCCAGAATGTGTGTCACACACTCAGCACTATGGTTGTTTACACAAAAACGCGTTAGACAGTCGGGTTTATTGAAAAACGATGGAGAAATCGGGCCTTCGGGCTCTTAAAGAGGGCCGAGAAAATGAAATGCTTTGTTGCGCGGCACATAAAAAGAAAATCGTGGGCTTCAAATCGAGTTAAAATTCCACTGTTCATTTCATTGCTCACAACTGACAAATCATTTAATTAAAAGACAGAAAAGGGAAACATAAAAATCAATAACATTTACTGTTGGCGAAAAGTTTTACTTATTTGCATATAAAGCGTCGCGAATTAACGAAAGTGAAATTCAAGATAAGCAGATCAACAACGTTATAACTTACATATGAAATCATACATTTTAAATGCGAAATCGAATGGAAAAGGAAAGTGAAATGTCGCGTAAAATGTGATAATATGTTTTGCAAATAAATTTATTTGACCACTTTCGAATGTAATGGTAGGTAATGTTTTTGGCATATAAATGTGACAAACAACGCTTACTGGTTTCCGGGTGAAAATGATAGGCCTATCTGTAACTCGTCGAGTCAATATTTTCTATATCCATTCAGATACAAGGAGTATCTGCTATGCCTACTAGTTTTTATATGGCAATAAAATCTTTCCAATAGAATATGAGTAAAGCAGTCTACGATAAAGATTTGAACATCTTAAATCCAATCCTTTTAGAACCTCATCTTATAGTCATATTTCTTTATTGCTTCATGCTGCTTACATTATTGCACGGCTCCTAAGATTATTCTTATTGCAATTTTACTGGCTATACCTATGCAAAATAGAACAAAGAATAACTATTTTCAACGCACAAAACACGTTCTGAATTTTTTAAGAAGATTTCAAAGTAGGAAAACTTGCTTGTACCTTCTCGAGTTTATTTTTCTTCTTAACATTATAATTTAACAGGTAGCACAGTGTAAATTATTTTTCTACTAAGCGTAAAAATGCAAACACAATGTTTTTACACAAATAACGTCACTTGAATCTTATTCCAAGNATTCCAAGTGTTCAAATACCGCGCACGTTACATGCAAATTATCAGCCAGATCTTGGTACGGTTCAGCGCCACGTTAGCAAACATCTCGAACCTCTCATTAATAACTTTCCACATTTCGAAACTATAATGAGCCGACTGTCGTAATAACTGGCATAACTCGTAACAGGCGCAGAGACGGGTAACGCATCCATTCGAGAGCGAGAGTTGATAGAAAATTGATTTTGTCTTAGAATCTTAGCACGCGATTCGACGGGGTCAACGAATCGCCTGATCACTTTCTCTGCTCGCGAGCTGTACACAACACTGGCTTGACGCTTATTCTGTCTATCAAACGTGTCCGTATTATCTCATTCGACGCTGTGAACCCCGTGCCGAACAATGAGCTGAGTTATAACTCGTGTAATAGCGTCTTATCGCCCCCATCTGTGCCTACAAGATCTCCGCTTAATTGGTTTCTGATAACCTTTTGCTCGCAGACTAAATCCTATTGAGATTTAACTTGCTTAATAGTCAAGGTTGGCGGAGACTATCTTCATCTTTCACTTAACCTCTATTTACATTCCATTCAGGAATATTTTCTGCCTCTTCGAAAACATATTCATAATAGCTTTTATGTAAATGCTTACGACCTGTTAGGCTCTTTAGTATCAACATCTTTCTCCCTATCTTCACAACGCACTTCGTCTGCCGTTCAATTCTGAATGAATGAATTTACTATAATAAATAATAAACCTTATATTCATAATTTTGTGAAGCTGAATGCTGAGCATATTAAAAATCGCAATATTTAAGAGCACTTGTTGATGCAATAAATACGTCAAACACTGCAGTTTACATCTCGTTACTATTAGTAATGAGTTAATAGTGAAATATGTAATATGTAAATGTTTTCCAGACGAACGTTGCGTTTTGATAGCGTGTTTACAAACTCTTTAAATTTATACATGCGCAATAACAATAAAAAATTACGATGTCTACGAGTCATCGGCCCGGCAGTTTCGATGCTCCCGAGATGAAAGTTTCGCCATATTTCACTTTCTGGCGTGCATATGCTAAATGCGCATACGCTCATGTTTAATTGTTTAGTCAAATACGTTGGAACGCAGTGTATGGTCATAGCCATGTTTTATTTATTTGACTACGAATTGATCCAATTCAAATTGATTAAAGCGAAAGTTTCGTTCTGCCACCGTAATACAATGGTGAATGTAAATTGAAACAAATTCCCTTAGCAATTTAAAATCGAAAACTATAACAAAACCTAATAGAGAATTCAATGTTAAAGCTCTCAACTGAGACTAAAGTGTTTTCTTTATGATAGCTGTCATCATAATATCTCGCCAAGCTATTCTTAATATAAATACAAAGCTGTATTTCTTTGGATTTCTTCGAATGCTCGTAAAATATATCATTCGCGCACACATTCGTTGAAATCTGCTGGTCATAAATCCTTTACATGCAGATGTATAAAAAGTTTTCCAGAATTTTGCTAGCGCTGCGAAACATGTATAGATTATAAACAAAACGATAATGATATATCTATAGTAGCTTTNTGTAGCTTCGGCTCAGCATGTTAAGTATGTATTATTTGAGTGTCTTTTTGAGCCATTATTTGGGCTTATCCAGTGATTCCTTTTACGGAATTGGCTTATCGTAAGTATAGGATCAGTTGCGTCAAAGGTTGTTAATTTGAGAGCTGTTACGTAGGCTGTACAAGTAATCGCTGAGCTGGCGATTATCGAGAGAGCTGCCGTGAATCACAAGTTCACTTTCACCCGCCCCCAGTGGCGCGGGCCGCAGACAGAGGTCGCCAATACGTAACCATAATATACATGGGTTTAGGAGGCCCGCAAAAACATGCATGTTAAATAAACACTAACAAACGGATTCCCAACCCGTCTGACCAGCGCTGCAGCGTGGAGAGTGTAGGCCAAATCCTCCCTTAGCAGCGGCAATTCACCAGTGGGTGAATTAGGGAATTTCGTACTACTGCAGTGGATCCTAACAACACACGAATTAATATTTACAGCTCTACTAAGAAACTAGCAAGATCTGTGGTATTACCTGTAGTATCTGTCGCCCTATAGAGGTAGAGGTTTTTTAGGATACACGGATGTTGAGGTACAAAGGGCAACTAGAGAATGAGCGCCTTACCATAGTTTATAAATCGACTCTACATTAATTTGCATCGGTTTTGTAGCTTGGCGTCTTACGGGTTCCAGTGTAATACCACAGTAATACTACTGCATCAAAGTTTCACTACAGGGTGGGGGCTGAGATTACTGTTCTTTACTGGCGCTATAAAGAAACAACTTTTCTTAATGCCTAGACTTCATTCGTAAAGTTTATTACATTTGACGAGATAATATCAGATAAACACGAAGCGAAATGCCTAGCTCCGCTAATCTTGGATGAAAGTAGTAAACCACTCTATGTATACTGCAAAAATACGAACACTTTACCTCAAAGTTGGTTGGGCCCGCTTTAAATCAGTGGAGCAGAGCCCTAAGGGCTCCGTTTTACGGCCTGGCCACGATCTAGTACCTTCTATCTATCACTGGTTTGTGTGCTAGACTTTATTTACAATGCACAATACAAGATTAATTACGATTATATTCAGTGATTTTAATCGGAATTTCTGTTCTGAGAAGGTGTTGGGAATAAACATCTCTAAATTATCGGGGTTTGTTTATTTTCAAATTTCAAATGAAAACTGGGGGGTGTTTACATAAAGTTTCAGATTATTCGTCTGTTAACTAAAGTAGTAAGAGTAGAATGTACCCATGTTTGATGTCTTGAAAGGTTTCAAAATGATTCCGTTATGTTCCAATTATTTTCATAAAAGGAAAGCGTCCGAAATCAATGTTGATTTTGATTAATCTTTGACCTCCCACGCAAATAAAAAAGCTTCTATCAGCTTAACGGTTTATAAAATGAATTCATATTTTAAGCAGTATGCATTTATTAGATTATAGGCACCTTCATCTGTATTGCACAAAAGGAAATCATAAATAATGTAACGTACAATAGGCAATTTAGAGGATTTTACTCAATTAATTAAAAGCTCAGAGAAAGCTCTCACTATAATTCATTTTCACAGCTTTTCGCCAGGGTATTTTGTCAAAAAATTTGACTTTCGGCAACCCGACTTTTAAAGAGCTTACTAATAATGTCTTACTCGAAGAAAGCAATAAATTACTGTGATAAATGCACACTAAAGACTTGGCAAGCTTTTCACAGTATGGAAGTCTGTAGTAATTTTGTGATGATAAATGTTTTACTACCTACATTAACGGACGAATTTGGTGGAAATTACTCTCCCATAATTACGTAATGAAGACTTAAAATCAGTCAATTTGTTGTATAACATACGCGTGTTCGAATAAGTTGAGCAACAACTATGCTTTGAAAACAATTTACGACCCAATAAAAGTTTTATTAACACTGCTTCAAGGAATTGCGCTATAATTTAAGGGCGATAGGACTTTTAGATCGCATTTACATTTCCGTACTCGTTTAGATTCACGATATTTGTATTTAATGATCCCGATTTTATTGTTTCAGGTAAGTTTCACCATTTAACAAATCGTCGAATAAACTTGGTAAGTAAACTTTAACTTTTATGGGTCGTTTAATGACACTTAACTGAGAATACTTGTAGAAGAAATGTAAACAACTTTGATTACGATGCGATAAACTTTCATGTAGCTTATCTGTATAGCGGAACATAAGTAGAGACGGCAAGAAATGCGTCTGACATTGAATGTAGAGCACACAAAATATTTGCACTTCTTTTAACACCTCTAGGAAAGTAAACAACGACCGGTTTAATTGTAAAGCAATTAGGGCTGCAAAGCTTTCCGGTGCATCGACGCCGCGCCGGCGATAGTCGCGTGGCGGCGGAGGCACTCCCACTCGCCACTCGCGGAGCGGCCCGCGCTCATTCACTCAGTCCTCTGCCGACTGCTTCGGCGACTACACGCGCGCTCCGTCCGCCACGACTCAGATGTTAGTGTACGATTACGACATCGCGCCGCAACTCGCACTTTTACCGTGACAGTGAACTCAACATTTTCGAATATGGGTTAAACGGCCCTTTAGGCGTGATGAGTCCGGGCGAGCGTGCCGCCCTCGGGCGCCGCGAACCCGCTCGCCCTCAGTATGCCACCAACGCACCGGGATTCCCGCCGCCCTACTACCACCCGCCCTATGGTGTGCCGCACCCGAATGCATGGCTTGGCGCGCCCCTCATATCCATGGCAGGACGTGCACCGCAGAACCCGAGGAACACGCCTGTATCTAAGCTGGCCATGCACGCTCAAGGCGCGCCGCTCATCATCCAAAACCGGCACGATCGGCGAAAGTACACCACGGCACCGGAGCAGCGCAACCAACGACCTCATCCTGGACATTCCGAGCACGTCGCCAGGGACAGGTGCGAAGCTCCCGAGGGAAATAGGCCTCGTAACCAACAACAACAATCGCGCTCCACGCGAGGCGGACGTAACAACAACACGGATGCGGTCAGTGTCGCAAGCGACGAGAGTTCCGGCTCGACAAACTCAGAAACAATGTTGCCCAGGATTATCAAACCGCGAAAGCGCCGCAAAAAGGATAGAAAACCTAACAATATCGCACACGACTTATCAGCTGCGACTTTAGATGTTGGCGATGTCGATCATTGTAATGTTTCTGGGATTTCGGGAACACCGCATAATATGTACGAGGAGTCGTATGGTCGTGAAATTTCTTTGCCGTATCGATTGGATGTGAAAGTGATTGAATATCCAGAACCGGTACCAGAGACATATCGAGTATCCGCTCTCGGCGAAGCATTAGAGGCAACGCGTTTTGGCTTAGCGGAAGCCGTTTCCCCAGTGGAGTCTGCTGTTACGTCGTGCCAATGTCGCTATTGTGATCCTGTGGGACAAATATGGGATGCTGATTCGATTGCTGATCTTTTAGATGAGAACTCCAGTGTCGACTTTGCTCCTACAAAGCTTGAAGATTCTATGAAAGTGGTCGGGCCATTAGGGAGAAGAGGGGCTGATACTACTTTGCGACGTAGTTGGAGTGATCCTTCATCACGTGTGCCTGAGCGGCGTGAAGTGAGCGGCACGGATGCGTATTCCGCTCCAAACTTGTACTCTTTGTTCCCACCCGCAAGACGAGCCAGTTCCCCGGAGCCGCGTTCCCCACTTGCATTGGAAATTTCTTCAGAGATTGTCACCTCGATGAATGGTCATCGTGACCTGGAAATCAAGTTGTTTTCGACCTCGCCTTCGGCTACGAACTCCGACCGCCGCTCCTTCTTTGCAGATAAAAGTGAAAGTGCCGTGAACAGATGTATAACCGCGAGCTACGAAAATAAAGTGAACAGTGCGGTGAACAGTGACAAAGTTAAATCAGTTGCTAAAATGGATGAAAAAAAGAGTGATGAAGTGCCCGAATCGGGATGTTCTTCGGCATTTGTAGTCGGCGAGTCTTCACGCAACATTTGTGATTTAGCTTTAGTTACTGCCTGAGATCTTTGTGATTGAGTTACGCGAATAGAGCATTGAGTCATCAATCTGTCCAAGGGTCTCTGCGCTCGCCATTTGAGCTGGACTCAAATTGTCTCAGCGAGGCATTTATGGAGCGTCTCCCGACGGCCCATTTAAATTCAATAAAAGATCTCCGAATCGGTTTCCTGTAGATTCTATAATTAATTTATTGTTTAACAATAGCATAGGAAACTGACGGGGAGCTTTATCTGGAAACCTAGACATTCGCCATTTATCAAACTTGAGAAAATGCGAAAGCATTACGCTAGACGTGAATGTAGGTAGAAGTACGAGGCAAACTGAATAATAGTTGTAAACTTAGTTTCGAAGTTGGAAACTGAAATATTTATGTAGGAGTGGTGGAGAAGTTTCGAGACTTGAAGACTAGCGAGAATTCTTAGTTATCTGTAGATCTGGTATACAACTGGCTGTGCAATTAGCGTTTCACACTACTGACACGGTTCTCGCGGCTGCGGCGGCGCGCTCGCTGTTGCGGTTTCCCGCGGTTTTCTCCGCGCGCTCCGTTCCGGGTGGCGCCTCCTGCGCACGCGCTACTTTTTATAACATCATTAGTAATCACTTTAACAAAAGTAATTTTGCGACATCGAAATACGTCATTGTCTGACATCGATAAAAAACAGATTCAGATTATCTTTACATTTTCATGTTAATCTTGCCACACTCTAAATTAGTTTCATTGCATACGCATTATCATAATGTTTCAAAATGTTAAGCAGTTGAATAAAATACTTCGTTGTTAAAAGAACAAACATTGATTTATTTATGTACTTTCATAATTAGACGGTCGTAATCAATCAATTTCACTGGTTATAAATCATTGTTGTTATTTGCAGTTACATGAGCTAACCGTGTCGCAAGCGCCTGCATAGACAGCCGCTTATGCAACAGGCATTGTAGATAAAGAGTTACGATAAGTGTAATCGTCTACACTCCTTCCTATCTTGCTTATCAAATAAGCTAGAGATTCATCGGTCATTCACTCGTTAGTATACGAGTACAAAGAATTCATTTAAAGTAAGATATTCGGTTAGTTCTTTACCACATTCACGCAGCCAGTACGACTTTTAAATGGACTTAAAATTAAATCCAAGCATAGCTTTTAGTTTACAAACGAAACATCACACGAATATTAGGGTTGAACGGGGCGATACCGTTTTAAAAGTATCGTAAAATTCATTGATAAATGGCGAATTCTTTTCATGTTCTTTTCTCTTTCTTATTTTATGTTTTGTTTAAGCAAGGGTCCAACAGCTTAAGTGATACCAGATAAAGTTCCATAATGTAGATAATGTGAATATAACTAAGTTATTCATGGACCGTACAGTCGTACTGTCTCTATCGTTGGGTTTTACACTCTACGAGCTGTTTCGATATTTTCCTTTTTTATTTTTGTGTTGTTTGCTTATATTGCTCGGCGCGTGCGTGGGACGACATGATAAATTGTTTCTTGCTTCACTTTTTTTCTCTCTACGACAGGCTCAGCGTAGACGAGGAGTTATTACAGAGTCCTATCTAGTTTAACTTCAGATTTTAATGCATATCGATGGGACCCTGTCAAATGGTTTATTTATCGGTGTTGAAATTATTATGCTTTGATGGCTATTTGCAAGGAGCTGAGCCTTCTTCATTAAATGTTTACTTTTTAGATAAAAGTAAGGGGGCGGTAGCTTCTTCATTGCATCGATAAAGTAGTAACATTACGATAAGCCAAAGCATTTCTTGGATTACCTGTAAAAGCGATATGGGTGTTGGTATAAAATATCTAACTATTTATACATAAATATGAATATTCTCGACGGTGCTGAGCCTGAGTCGAGTTGGGATTGAAGGGCGTGGTGCCAGACGTTGTTGTAAAACTCAACGATAACCTCACTGTAATGTAAACAAAGTAGGCTATGTCTAACATACTGAGTGAATGCATTTTATACATAAAAATGTAGGTTTAATATTTGTTTGTGTATGTCGTGAGGCATGAGTTACACGCTCGCACACTATTTTTGTACAATAAATACCGTGTCCTGACATTGGTGTTGTTTTATTTTACTGTGCTCGTATTTTTTGCTCCATTCTAATGTGGGGAATGAGTCTTTATTTTAATATTCATAATCGTTGCGGTCACGTAGAGGATCGCGGTAAGAAGTGTATGACGTAGTAGCTGAAAATCCAGAAACGTGTTTTGTAAACACTCCCAAGGCGTTTACGTAAGAGTAAACGCGACTTTCTATTGTAGTCACCAGCTGTTGGTTAGTTACGCATATGCCATTGTGCTCTTGTTTGCGGCTGACCGCTGCAAGGCACCGGAGGAGAGCGGACGAATGTAAATCAACTGGTTTACGCAACAAATTGTTCTTGGTTAACCGAAGAGTTACGTATCAATTCTGCCTTTCATAAGTGCTCTCGTTTTCCGTTTTGCTATATAATTCTGGAAATGGTTATGTGCCATAATTAATAAAACGCGACTACTTAACTTTACATAACACAACAAGTACTCGAAATCATAAGATATTGAGGTATTTATGATTCACTAGCAGGTTGTTGGTAGTCATTTATAAATTGACAACTTCCTCAATTATGTATTTATGTTCTAGGTGTATGGTTAAAATTTAAAGGCTTTATTATCGCCAAGTTCTCAACAATTATGCCGCTTTGTTCGCACCAAGCGCGTCTATATAGACCGTTCAAGTGACTACGAGTTATTCTTTACATTGGCAAGGACGTCGTCTTGGTCAATGTCATGACTAATGTTTGCCAGCCATTTTATGGCTCTTTCATGAAACTGCGCAGCTATCCCTTTTTGTGTTTCACTAAACCATTTTACGAGCCTGTTTATGAATTTCAGTCAGCATTGCCAATCTCTAACTTTACGACCGTATCGAGTTTATCACCATCTAGTATCAAAAGTTCCTGAGGGTTAATTTAATAACCTTACATTATTTTTTCCTCATTTTAAACATCTCTTCGCTTGTTCTTTTAATATTCATAACTTGATAATTGCGAAAGTGTTGATGGTTGTACTATCAACTTAATAGTAGCAACTTCATCGTAGATGTAAATTAGTCTTGAGAATCCTGATCAATTTTTATTTCAGTAAATATTCCGAGTTCTGGTACACTTTGTGCACGGGCACACGTTTTATTTTTGCCTGCAATCGTGACACGTTACAATTCCTTCGGGTCGTTGTAACAATTTTATCGTTAGCGTTCATTGCACACACTGTAACACTAATGTATGTTGTTGCATAATAATCACATTAACATGACCAGGTTAAGTGCTGTGTAGCAACACGTTTTCTTATTTGACCACTTTTACGATGAGTTGTGATGAATTTCCGTTTCCAAATATTCGTTTTATAAATCTGACATAACCCTGATTTGTATAAATTATGTAAGCATTTTTATTATCAGATCTGAACTGCGGCATATAAACTCGTATAGGTAATATAGAAAGAAGTAACTAGCCCTTTAATAGTTTAGTGACCTGAAAAAGGAAATCTTGACTCAAAGGGATTTGAATCCCAGAATACTAAGCTTAGGTAGACACGAGGTTTTCACTTTGGGTAGAGATTAGAGAACTTTGGGCAAATTAACGAGTTCTTATTAGATAACTGCTTTTCTTTATGTACCTTACAGTTCACATGAGAACAGAGATCTTTTTGTAATTCCTTATATGAACCCTATTCAGTAGTCCCTCCTATAAAAGACACACATGTGATGCAAATGCATCAAAGCGGATAAAAGGCAGATGGACTAGCGTTGTATATTTGTCTTCGGCGCGCGCGCACGTGGCGAGTGACCTTTCATACGGCTGGCTATAGAAATCGTGTTATGTTCGGGCCACGGCGTAAATACATAACACCGCGAACAATGTTGTATCTAACTACCATGAAATACGGACACGCTGTAAACTGTTTTACGATATTTCCTTCCTAGTGAAGAATGAGGATTATCCTCCGTCTAATTTAAAGCGCTATTACTGTATTTACTTGCCCATGAATCTCGGTTTGATGTTGAAGGACCCGGCTCGCCTCGTGCAATAACATGATATAAAGTTTTAAATGCCAACGACATTGTCACGCAAGACTTTTATGTTTCGTAAGAAGTAAATTATTTATTGGATTTTACTATCTGAACTACGCATATGCATATGGCATGCTACGCACAGAATCGAACATAGACTATAATACTAAACATTTTACAGATCGTGTATTTGATATGGTATAAGTATCTATCGGAACAACGGAGGTTAGAGTAAAAAACGCAAATACATGTATCTTATTTCGTTATTGTTATTATTGATTCCGCTGCCCTATCAAAAAACCCAATTTTAACGTTAGTTAGTTATCTTCAAAGAGTTTACGATACCAAATGTTCTCCAAGCCTTTGTTCTTCTCTCGGGTCGTAAAGTTGCCGGACAGTTCAGAATTCCATTGCTGGCGGCCGGCGGTCGGCGGCAGGCCGCTCGCAGCCAGTATTTCTAAAAGCAGCCAGGGTTAGTTTTCTTCGCAAGGCGGGGTAGAAAGCCGGCTGGTTTCCGTTCGGAAGTTTCTCCCGGCTTTCTCTCGCCCGCACCCGAGATAGAACGCCGCCGATGCCGATTAATGTTATACAACCACTTCCAGCCCTCAATAGAGCGTTCAATTAAAACCACTTTCAAAACTGTTAAAATTTTCCCTCAAGACAATTATGTTGTGATTCATTTGACTGGCTTAACCTCCCCAATTTTGTAAGTCACAGCCAAAAATAAATGATCATGAAAAATGTACATCGCTCATGTTTCAAAAAACAATATGAGAAGATAATTTGTCACGCTGAAAGGCATATTTTTGTTTGCCTGAAGACAAACAGTCACTTAATATTCTAATTTAAAACAGTTTATCCTCTGAATGCAACACTTAGGTCATTGCACGGGAGATGAACATGCAAAACATCGTGTAGGTTCGGACGAAGAAAAAACTGATTCGTTATTTACATCGGGCAGTGTTAAATCTCTCGACTTAAAACGATTAATGTTTGATGTCTGAATGATTTATTTGGTAGTCTGACTTTTTACAACAAACATCCAAATCTCAAAATAAGGTCGAGTCAGGTTATGAAAGCTTTTTGTGAATTGACTCCATTTAACCGTTTTGCACTCGAGTCCATAAACTCTTCAGAGCATTTTACACGCTCTCCAAGAGCTGCTGTAGAACATAAACTCTCGCAGTGGTTATTATGGTTATCCCGATGATGTGCAAATTGCATTGTATGCGATTATTGCACTTCTTCGCCGTTTATTAACACTTCTGTCAAGTCATCTAATGAAGTATTCAGAGCTGTTCGTCGTGAGGACTCGTCGCATCCAATCTGATCCGGTCTTAATAAAATCATCGCCTTGTGCGGTAATTATAAATAATTATTTTCTTTATTGGTAGTCCTTTCATGGAGTAAGGCTGATGGCACACTGCCACGCGCTTGATCGTAAGTTAAGTGTATGTACTTTTGTTTATTAATAAAGTCTGCGCACTTGGCTTTATCTGATGCGGCGGCGAGAGAGATTCGCCTTATCCGTAACGAAGTACTTTTTATTTTACGTTTAACTGACTTCTTATTGTTCAAACTTAATAAGTAAGTTATTATTTTTTCTTACGACACTTTTTACTTACTATTGAATTAATTTACATCAGAGTCAAGTTAGCATATGGCCCGACACAAGGTCTTACATTCTCACAAATAAACCAGAGGCTCTACTTTTTATCTTAAATAATATCGAATATTGACATTGAATTACCCACGCGAAACATGCTAACCTATACATATGAAATGTAAATTGCATCACTTAAAGTTGTCGCGCTGTTTCTTTTTGCTTAGGGCAGATAAAAAAGTATGTTCAATCTAAGTATTTGATTAGTGCTACTTTTGTAGATCGATGTACTGTGTTTCCTTTTTTTAAATTTAAAAGTAATTATGAGAAAACATCAAAGCTAATCCTTCTAACCGATCGCGGCGTCTTATCTTGATTTCTATCGACGAACAAGATTTGTCGCTTCTCTCCTATTTCACGCTATCACTTCGGAATCATAATTTACGATGTCTCTATAAATATCATTAGCTTGACGTATTTGTGTTTGTGGTTGTAAATTAAACGGTACGCTTTGAGGTCGAACTTGTCTGTATTTCTCCAGCATCCTGTTTGATTTTGCTGGCATTATCATGTGTCTGTCCCAAAATTTGGGTTACTACGTTATTTTTCGACGAATATGTACTAACTCCGTATGTATATTCACTTATCTCTTCATGGACACGTTTTTATTAGGGTCAATAACTTGACACTTAGCCTATTTAACTAAAAATTGATGAAATTATCAAGAGGCCAAGAGAAATTGAAGGTTATATTTTAAATATCATTGAATGCATAATTAAATATAGCCGAATTTTAATTTTAGTTTTGCTGCATGTGCAAAAAGGATAAGATATCGTAAATGCTCGTGGAGAATTCCTGAAATTCCTATTAGAAAGTTTCTCGAGACTGGTGGTGGAGGGTGTTGCGATTTCATAATTTTCTTTTGCCGAGCGATTTTCTATAGACGCGAGCCGATAAAGCGAAGAGCAGGAGAAAGCCGATATAGTATTGCGTTTCCCGATGTTCTTGCACCTAGCTCGTGCTATGCCACAAGTCACGAGTATATGCGGGGCTTTACTACTTAGGCTGGGCTTTTCAATTGAGATTTTTCGCTTGAGTTTATTTCGACATAAGTATAAACTTGATATGAAAAGTTCATGCTTAATAGAAGATGAGCATGATTAATTCGGTGGTTGGCCTCCGTTGTCTAGTGGTTGGTAAGATGACTTGTCACTTGAAGGGCGTGGCGACGAAAAAAATAGTCAACAATAAAATCTAACAGATTCAAATGGATTTGATTATTCGATAAGAATCAGTAAGGTCTTTGACGGCTTATAAAGTTTAACTGCAGAATTCTGTAAGTAGTTAACGATTTTATTTCCCACTAAAACATTTTGGCTCGTGTTATCTTTTCTACACAGTTAAA